CCATGAAAGGCGACTATAAATTTTCGAATGCTGGGTTGTTTGTCGAACGACACTTTAGTCGACAGACTATTCGTCGAAGTAACTTTGCTGAAAACTTTTTGTCTAAATTTTTTTGCAGAAAAGCATTTCGTCAGGGTGTGAGTGTGGGTGCGGGGTGGGTGGGGTGTAGCGGTGGGGGTGGGGGCTGTAGATGTGGGTGTGCGCGTGCATGTGCGTGTTGTCTTTACTAGTACTTACATCCACACCCACGCCTGCATCCCTAAAATTAGACGAAATAACTCACCAGATAGTCGAGTAGTAGAAGAATGTTTAAGTAGACTGGATGATTCAATTTGATCAGATAAATTTGTCATTTAACAATCTAAAATAGTTCCTCGAGTCAGATCTAAGTATTGAAAGTAAGTGATTCAATGCTTTTGTGAAACACGATTGAAAAGAAGTGTTGAAGTTTTAGAGCGAGAAAGTTGGACTTATCTCTCCACAGACCATGACAGACATGTCGGAAATCCCAACTTGAACGTCACAGACTGCGACAGACAATGCGACATGGCTATCAAAGTGCGTGATGGGGTCGAAGGGTACGCCGGCATGTCTGTGCGGCTTGAAGGGGCTTCGAGGCACGTCTTTCCTGATATGGTACGGTTTAAGGGGTTTTTCAACATGTTTGTCATGTTCCGTGGCAGTGGAAGGAATTTCTAACGTTTGTGTTTTAGTCTCGATTGGATTGCGATAGAAATAAGAGATCTCTGCATTAGAGTCAAAGCAACTCCATTGCGTTTCACATTTCGATCCTCAAGGGATTGCGCTGAAAGCTTTGCCCTTTTGTTCTGCTTTTTGTTTGTATGAGTCAAACTTTGTCTACAATCAACAGCACTATATACATAAAAAATAAGTAAAGATAACGAATATGTCGTTGTTCTTTTAGCCAGCCAAAATGTTAAGAACAGTCAAAGTTTGTTTGCCTTCGACATGCCGGCAGAAAATTAAAAAAAAACAAGAACAAGTGCGTTGTGAAATAACTGCATTGTGCGTCTTTTTTTGTTAATCGAAAGAAGTCTTCATGGTTGGAAAAAACATTGGGTATTTTTTTTATGTTTACGCGTTCGGTAGTGGGAAAATTCCCAAATCAGAACGTACATATTAAAGCTTCGTTTGCATTATCTTTCCGTCTTGCGTATCATTTCTATATCAAAAAATGGTCATCAACGTATCGTTTACAAATATTGTTGGTAAAACAATATTAACACAATTGGAAGACAATTTTACTTATCATGATTTTAAGGCACTTGTTTCGGAAAAAATTGATTCGGCTGCTGTCGAACACTATCGATTTATTGTCAATAATAAAGATTTATGTTTGGATAATGAAAACGAGTTTGTAAAACGTCGACCGTTAATTAAAAATGGTGTTACTATTTTTCTTTTGCGTCGAATGCTTGGGGGTGGCTATGTTGAAGCGGCTATTCTCATCGATATTATTCTTGCCGAATTACCCAATGAAATACCCAAACTTAGAATGAATGATGATGAATGTACTGTATGTTTGGAAGAGAGACGTTGCTTAAAAATTTGCTGCAATGCTATTTGTGCCACTTGTTTTTTGGATTATTTCAAAACGAGTGATCTACGATTGAAATGTATGATATGTCCAAAACAAATTCCCTATACAGATATATTTGTCTCACCAGATTTCATTTGTTCATTGGTCTCTTTGAACGAGATTCGCGGACTTATGAAACATATCGATTGTCAAATTTGTCATTGTGGAGCTTTGCTCGTTAATGAAACTCTGTTTGCGCAGCAAACATGCCACAATTGTAAACGTACGTTTTGTTTCTTCTGCAATAAAACATAGACAGATGGTCAAGAGAAGAGACGAAACGAACGCTATACCTGTCGGATTAATTGTGACTATGAAATTAAATTAAATTATGATTTAATTCCTTATGTTGACAATCGTAACATTTTAATACCGAACAGTCGAGTATGTCCAAAATGTTTCAATGTCGGTGGATATGATGGCAAATGTAAATATCATCAATGTGCTATATGCAAGTATAATTTCTGTCTCTTATGCCTCGCTCCCAAAGAACGATGTAACACTGGATCAGATAGTCTCAAACGTGCATGTGCTACAGTTAAACGACAAGATTTCACCATGTTCCCCCGTATTGTTGGCTCTTGAACTTATCTCATCACGTCATAAGAAAACTGCTCATTTTGATCGCGTATCTCGTGTTCTTTAACGTTGATAATTGAAAACTATTTGTGTTCGGTTTTCTGAATTTGTTTAGTGAAAAACACAATAAATAAAAGGAAAATAGAAATGAAATCGACTTTTTTTTGTTCATTCCTCTCTCAAACACGGGGTTGAGAACGTTTAGCTGTGCATTTTGAAACCGTCTGTTCGATAAATTCAGATTATCTGTGCTTTTGGGATAGTTTTCATCTTTCTGCTGTAGTTATCTTAAACTTAATACATTTATATGACTGTACTGAATCTTCACTCAACAGAACAGTGTATTTTCATGCGAGTCTATTACTATTTTGTAACGTAATGAATAGCGAAGTTCCA